GTGAGTCGTCAACATAGAGGTTTACCAGTAATGCCAAAAATCGCACGCCGAGATATTTTTGGTCAGATGTAAACACAGAGGTCCATAGTATTAGTAGCCGTAACACAAACAGAGTGTACGCTAAGTTGCTAACTTGTAACCTCATAAATATTAGTCTTCAAAAGTCCTAGGACTATAACGAAGACGGAGAGAGAAGGTGATCAAATCGATGTATCAACACTGCGGATTATCACACACAAATAGATGCCCCTTTGTTTTAATTATGTTCGCTTGTTTGAGACGCCATTTGTGATTTTGAAAGTCCTGACTCGAAAAAATTTATTGCTGGTATGATTGCTGCGGTCATCAGCCCTACATCTCCCACCCTCCTAAATATATCAGCCCTACATCTCCCACCCTCCTAAATATATCAGCCCTACATCTCCCACCCTCCCAAATATGTCAGCCATACGTCTACTCTCCTCAGTATATCACCCCCTATATCTACAACTCTTTCCAGGAAACGTGACCAGCCCTAAGTCTTCTACACTCCCCAGTATATCAACCTCTATATCTACAACTCTCTCCAGCACACCAGCCCTACATCTCCCCAATATATCAGCATTTACCTCTCCCACCCTCCCCAAAAATATCACCCCTACATCAACAACTCTCCCCAGTATATCAGCACAGGCATCGCCTACAATCCCCAGTAGGTCCGCCACATACTTATACCAGCCACCAAGTATGCCAAACCCCACTTCCACAGTACTGCCCAATATATCAGCCCTAACTCTCTTGCTCTCTCTTACCATCTAATATATAACATAGCCCGTGGCTGTATGTGTCTGCTGAATATATCACGAGCCTCATCACCCCTCTCCCCCCACCTCTGCCAAACATCGCCAACGTCGTTACCCACGGCCACCAATAATTGGAGTTGCGTGTTATCAGGGTTAGGTTGAAACGTAGCTTGGCTTTCAGGTGAATATCTCTGCCCGCGGTTAATTAAGTTAATCTTAATAATATCGGTTAATTAAGTTAATCGGCTTAGTGAACACACTGCTGTGATGGTTTGCACAACGTAGTCGACGGCTCAGTGAGCAAAGACCCCACCGAGTCGACAATGCGTTAAGACGCCGCTGCAGGGCAGTGTAATTAAAATATTAATATCTAATTAGAGGTGCATGATGCCCTCTCGGAATCCGCGGTCTTTTTCGTGTTATGTGCAATTTTCGCTTTTTGTTTTCGCGCAGAATCGTCGGGGAACTCGAATGAAGCCAGTCCGAGCACATCGACTTACTCTCTGTCCAACAACATCTCTCCTTCGAACAAACGAAGAAGCACATTTAGGTAAGCCATGCAACTTTCGTGTGTCTCCGGTTATGCGTTCGTTAACAGCCGACGTTTGCTTGCTGTGTTGTATACGACATTTGATTCTGTGGTTTGTGAACATTATGAGACTAGGGCCGTTCGAGCATTAATGCGTTCATTAATTAATTCGTCTTTGCAGTCGAGCATAAGTTATGGATGCCACAAAGGCTGCTCATTAATACGTCATTAACGGCAGTCGGCGGTGTCACGTTTGCAACCTTCTCTTTCTAAGTGTACTGTGCAGTGGGGAGGTTCTACTAGGGGGATGAAATGTGTCTCTCTGCGTGCATTCGTGCGCGCGGCAAAGGCTGCTGTTGTTGCGGAATCCTCCGCACGGGGAATGGCAATCACTGAACCGGCAGTCCAACCGAATCTATCGCTCTGTAAATTGACATCGTCACTTTGCCAGAAATAATTAAATGTCTCTGAATAAATCTCGGCTAGGAATCTCAGTGTAGCATGTGAATTGAGCCAATTCGGGGTATTATAGGATTCATAATGCCTATATACAGGGTTGAATAGTTGTTGTACGTGTACACGTAGTGCGTTGGGCTTATAGTCACGTGTCAACACCCTGTGTCATGCTTGTAATCTTGCCCCCCCCCCCTGTGTCGTGGTTGTAGTCCGGCATCACCCACATGGCATGATTGTAGTCGTGTGCCACCTGTTTTTATGGTGGTAGTCCTGTGTCACCCCCGTGTCATAGTTACAGTCTTCTGTTACCCACGTGTCATTGTTGGAGTCGTGTGTTACACATCTGTCATTAGCTCGCCTGGACATCGTCAATATGAGCTATTGCCATGGGGTGTCGTCCGTCGTACGTCCGTCCGTCCGTCCGTCCGTCAACATTTGGCTACGGTTAACGATAACTCAAGAACCGTTTGACCCACATGTTTCAAATTGCATATAGTTGTTACTCCTATGGGAGAGGTTTGAACGTCCTATTTTGGAGCACGCCAGTCGACCTACTTTCGAGCCACACCCACCTTTTGGCAAAAATCAAAATGGCTATCTAGATTCATTCAATTTTGTTAAATTTTGGTATATATGAATGTTTAAGGCTAGCCCCAAAACAGTTGTTACTCCTATGGGAGAGATGACAACGTCCTATTACGTTTATTTTGTCTAACTGGTTAACAACTCTATAATCATACCTATATACGTGTAATATTGTGTTTTAGATTCTTCGTTACAGTAATTTGACTGGAAATGTTATTGTTTGTATTTGCGCGATATTCGAAAACCAAAATGGCGATGATTTAGGCGTAGCGCCATCTCTCGTCAAGATTTCAGACTTTCAGATCTGAAACATTTATTTTCGCATCAAAACTTATGCATATATATCATTATCAAGAGTATATAATGGGAGATATGTTATATATAATGGGAGTTCTCCCATATATACTCTTGCTTTATATATCTCCCCTCCCTCTTCTATCAGACCCAAGGTGAGCTACAGTGTCATTGACACTTTCATTGTTGTGCCGTGGGTCATCCTGCCGTAGTTGTAGTCCTGTGTCACCACCGTGTCCTAGTTGTAGTTGTATGTCACCACCATGTCATAGTTGTAGTCCTGTGTCACCACCGTGTCCTAGTTGTAGTTGTATGTCACCACCGTGTCATAGTTGTAGACCTGTGTCACCACCGTGTCCTAGTTGTAGTGGCTCATGTCAACGCCCGTGTCAATAGCTGGGACTTTTCTTTTTTCGTCAGTCCTGTCTGTCACCACCCCGACCAGTATTCCTAGACGGCACTTGCCGGCCCCGCCGTTTTGCGCGACATCGCCCGCTACGCGCTCGCGGCGAAGCCGCCCGCCCCAACCGCGAATACCCGCCGCCCCTTTTTGTCCGCCTTAGATGAGACTATGTGAAGACACGGGCGTCTGAAACACGCACTACGCCGAAAACTGGGCGCAGATCCAACCGACATTTCCCGCCTATGCGACCCGGCAGCGGAGGCCATCTCTCAAACGCGCCCCTAACCGTTTTAGTTGCCGTGGCTGCGCCGCGCCTTCAGTGGTCGACCCTAAGCACGCTAAGTGACTCGTACAAGAAATCTCAAGACAATGCCCCTGGCTCAATCAGCGCATGACGCCTCGCGCGCCTCCGTTCGGCCCCGCTACGCGCATGACCGGCGCGCCTAGTTGCTGACAGTATCAGCCGTTATGCTCTCATCACAGCCCAGCTTTTACGCAAGCTCTCGGCTAACGGCCGCCTGCACGTATTGGTGGCCGCCCGGCCTACCATTGCTATCTGCAAATGCAGCATGCAGGGGCCCGCGTTACGGCGGCCGCCTGGCCTGCTGCTACGCCTGCCATCGTTTTCCAGGCAACCTCCTGACCCGCTGCTGCCGTGGCAATCGTCATGTTCCGTGCCACCGCCACACCTCGCTGCTGCGTTGCTGCCGGCGCGCCGAAACTCGTTTTTTTCCCAAGAATATACATCAGAACGCATTTACGGCGCCTTCTGATTAGCCTTGGCAATCTTAGGCAAGATGCTCAGCTCCCTCCATGACTCTGCTAGCCCAAAAGTCCCAATTATCTACCAAAAACTTCCATCCGCAACTTATCTGTAAGCCTGAGCGCCTTAAAGTAGTTTCTAGCTATGTTTCTTAAAACAACATGAGCTATTCAGTGAATAACCCAAATCATCATGCGTTTTCTTCACTGCATTTAGCTCTGCCCAGACTGAAGACAAACCTTCCAAGACAAGGCAGCCAACAAAACACCATTTGGTAACATGCTCGGTTTTGGGCTTAATGACCGCCCCTATAGACTAAGTTTCTGATGTATTCTTCCATGAAAGACACACATAATTTATACTTCATTATTTATTAACATATAACGATCCTACTATAACTTGGCCAATTCTTAGTGCAAATCTGTATTTCCATCTTAATCTAAGTTATAGCCAGGGTCTAGACATCTACCGTCGTTACTCTAGCCGCCTCTATACGCTTATAGCGGCCGCAATTTCTGTTCTATCGTTCGCTGCGCTGCCGTGCGATTAGTTACGTCTTACAGCCCTGGACCTCACCGGCTCGCTCTTACAACCACTACGCTACTAGTACACTACGACTACTAACTGTACTAGAATTAATACTCACTACTAGCCCTCCCGTCACGAGTACGAGTACTATAGCCTCTAGCTACTCTTCCGCTAGCCCCTACGCTACTTATAGCTCACCGTCGCTAGCTCTAGTAGTACCTGGCTCGTAGCCCCTTGCTCCTTTCTCGCACTCCTCTGCCCCGACGCAAAGCACCTACGAATCGAGTGCCAACCAGTGTACGTCTACGCATACGTACGTCATGTAATCATTACCGGCAGCAGCCAGACCCTCTCATAACTTACGCATGACGATAAAATACACATTTGCCAGACAAAGAATTGGCCCAATCTATAGCTGATATTATATGTTATATCATTAATCGAGGCAAAAAGCATGTATGTTTTTCTATTGGAAAACTACATTCCTCAGAAAAACGCTACTTATCTTAGCGCGCTCATAACCAAACAAACATTTACAAATAGTGCGCCCGTTCGATTGGCTTCCCAGCAGCCCCCAAGCCCCCCCCCCCCCAAGTGAGCACCTCTCGCCGCGACGCCTCCTCACTTCATCGCACCCGGCCGTTGCACCCGGTCCAGTAACGGGGTTTTGGAAAAACAATACCACGTCTGACTGCCAAACTCGAACGTATTTGGGCTGGCCGCAGTAGCACCAGGAACTTGGGGAAGCAAATCACCCCCCACTTAAAATGCCGGCCGCTTATGCTTCTTCCTGTCAAAGCACCCCCCAAGCAAACTCGAAGCAACCAATCAGAAGCGCGCTATATTCTTTGCTATCCGTTATACGTTTGCGGCACAAAAAAATTTACGCTCCGGCCGCGAACACTGCGCAGCCACGTGGTAGGTCTGGCCCGTGCCAGTTTCTTCACACGCTAGCCATATCTCGTTACGCATAACTGCCCTGCGCCAAAGCAGCCCGCCAGCAACAAATACTCGCCCTGCCCTGCGCAGCTGCGCCCAACAAGTAAGCAGGCCCAGCAGCAAACATGGCGCCCCGCCCGCCTGTTCGAGCCGAGCCCGCCGTCGTAGGTGCTGACGAAACTGGCCGCGATGCTTACGCCTTCCGCATATACGCTATTCGCGCCGCCCGCCCTCCTTCGGCGCCTGCCGAATCGTATTAGCGGCCACGCCGCGCAAATGGCCCTACATACAACACACCGCCGGCTCCCGCCTGTCGCCGCTCCAGTCCGCCTCGGAAGTGCGCGCGCTTTCAACCGCTCTTGGCAGTGGTCGGGGCAACAACGCATCTTTTTGCCGCAAACGCCATCTTGTTACCCCAGCCGTCTCTCATGCGTTGTTAGTTGGATCGTCACACCGCCACTTGGACGTAGTTTTAGTCCTAGTGTCACCACCGTGTCCCTAGCTTTGTAAGCTTGGTATGCCTACACCGCTGCACGTAGTTGTAGTTGCTATAGTCGAATAACCGTGACGTAGCTATTTAGCTCCTGTGGGGCACATCCGCTGTCCTAGTTTGTAGTGTATAGCCAACACCCGTGCACGTAGTCTGTAGTTGTATGTCAATACCGTTGCACGTAGTTTTAGTCCTAGTCGTGTCACCACCAGTCGTCCTAGTTGTAGGGGTAGGACCCAACACCAGTACGTAGTTTAGATTGTATGGCACCCACCGCTGTCCTAGCTTGTAGTTCGTATGCTCAACGCCGTGTCGTAGTTGTAGTCCTGCTCCATTCTGCGCCTGTCGTTGTTGTAGTCCTGTGCTCACCACCGTGCTCCTAGTTATAAGTGTATGCTCAACACCGTGTCGTCTGTAGTTAGTCGGTGTGCACCTATCTGTCATAGGCTGTACCGTACCGTGTGTCATCCAGTCTGGTCCATAGGTTGTCGTGTATTGTCACCCCCGTAATCATCGCCATGTCATGTTTCACCCACTTTGCTGCCCAATCTGTAGTCCACCCA